CAAATTCCTGGGCTCAAGTGACTCTCTCTCCTCAGCCTCCCAAGTGTATGAGACTACAGGCATGCACCACCATGCCCAGCTAATTTTTAAGGAAGTTTTTTGTAGAGACAGGGTCTCAATATGTTGCCCAGGCTGGTCTTGAACTCCTGGCCTCAAGCAATCCTTCCACTTCAGCCTCCTGAGTAGTTAGGATTACAGGTGTAAGCTGCTGCACGTGCGTATATGATGTTAAATAATATTTAAAGTATGTGTTGTTATGATCCCAAATTTAATTGGTTTTTCAGTTAACCTACCAACCACTATCCTGGACTAGTTAGAAGAGAGACTTTACCCTATGACAAAGTGCAGTGGGCACAAAGGAGAAGGGGCCTGTTCAAAGAAGAAGTCAGGGAAGCTAACACTCAAGATGACAAGGGAAGGATGAATACAAACTTCTTGGATTGAAAAGAATGAGGCAGGCTTATGGAAACGAGGTATGAGAAAGCATTGTATGTGAAGAGTACTACAATTTATTCAGTTTTGCTAAAGCTTAAAGTATAAAGAAGAGAATGAAGATGGATGAGGCTGGACAGATAACCAGACAAGGGCTATATTGAATAGCTTTATATAATAAGGAAAAGCATTCAAGATTTATCTTATAGGTGAAAGCAGGACACCAAAAAATGTTGCATCAGTGACATGATCAGCATGATCAGATAGATCTAGATGCTGGAAAGAGCTCTTTGGTGGCAATAGAGTGATGAGACAAAAATGAAAGGAGGGAGATTAGCAAGAAGGTTATTGCAACAGTCTGAGTAAGACATGCTGAGGCCTAAACTGGGGCAGTGCTAGGGGACGTGGCAAGGAGGAGTAGAGTGACCTTTATTGGTTTCTTCCCCATATTTAATCCCTCTTGACCCTTGCCAACATGGACCCAACCATCAACTCGGTCCCCTACTCTCAGGGTGGGCCCTGATTGACCTAAGCCAACCAACGCATCTGTTGGGGCTCACAAGCTGAAATCCCAAAATATGGCACTTTGGCATGATGAAGCCTCGAGGTCTTTCTGACCCTACCCCACCTTCTGTCCCAGAGCACAGCAAGAAGTTGAAGTTCCTTTATCTGCCTAAGATCCAGACCCACTAAAAGAAACAATTGGTTTTTCTTTCCCTCTTGGTAAAACCAAGAATGTTACCACACCTGAACAGACTCTTTTGCAAGATAATTTACAAGTTAATCTCTCTTCCCTGATCCATTCATTCTCCCTAGTCATCCCCTCAGCAGAATTTTTCTTCTACCCTCTCCCATAACCTGTTTTCCAGGGTGGTATTTAAGCTTCTGAACCTGTTGGGGGGTGAGTAATCACTCTGTGGTTCTCCCTGTCTACACACAAAATAAATTTGTATGCCTTTTCTCCAATTAATCTGTGACTTTTGTGAGCTGATTTTTCACTGAAACTTCAGAGGGTGAAGGGGAAGCCTTCCCTTCACCCCTTCACATCCCATCACTCCAGCCATGATGGATTCTTGTTTCATGGGTAAGCATTTTGCCCTTCTGGGACACTGGGGTTATAAGAAAGGCTTGCTGGGTGCTTTTAGGAAAGCAGTAGCTTCTTTCTTTAGCTGGACATGAAGAGAGAAGCACGAAGCCGTAATTGTGGTTGGCAGTCATTCGACAACCATAAACTAGGGTGACCATGTAATTTATCATCCAAAACAAGGTCACATTTGAGAGAGAGATAGTGCCATAAATAATTATATTAGGATAATAGATGTAACTGGGCCTATT